AACAACTTATTGTTATTATCATTATTAGGTGAAGTCTTAAATAGTTGTGATAAAAAAAATGTATAATATAAAGTGCTGAAAATGGCGGTATTAGATTTATATAATAATTCATAAATAAATTCAAAATCTAAGAATATCTTGTTTATATTTAGAAAATGTGCAAGTTGGGGCATGCATGGTACAATTTTGTCTGTCTTTTGACTTTTTAAGGTTTTTATTTTTATTTTCGTTTTTTAGTCTGAAGTACATAATCTTAAATGGAAGTAATTTTGTCCATAATTAAACACCATTTTCAAACTTACCTTTTATACAACCTGAAAAAAAATTAAACAAATTTCCAAAATTGAAAGAAAAAGAAATTAGTGGGGGATTGAAATTAATTTTATAATAAATTAATTTCTTAATTTGTGAACCAACAGGGAAAGACTAATAAATATATAAATGAATAGAAATCACGTCTATCAAAATAATCATACATACAATAATTAAGAAAGACTATAGAATTGGAAGTTATTATTTATACTAATATATTTTCTTTTTTGGTCGATGAATCAAAATCAAACATAATTTGATCCAAAAAAATTTGTGTTGGAGGATCTCTTAAAGCACGTGAATAAGAACAAAAGAACAAAATATGATAACGGTGGGGTGGGAGATGCAGATGGGCCCAGGGGTCGGGGTGGATGAACGAGATGTAAATGGGCCGGGCCCGAAGAGAGGAGGACAGAGGGAGGTATAAAACGACAGCGTTTAGGGAAGCTGCAATTAGATAATAAATGAAGAAGAACATTGCGTTGTTACAGACTAGACGTTCTTTCTAAAACACTCCTTACTCATCCTTCATTATTATTATTATTATTATTATTATTATTATATTTTTACATAATTTTAATTTATTATTGTGGCTGATCTGATCCAACCAACTGCTTTCACCTGCAACTGCGAGCAAGAGTATGATTTCAATTATACGTACATACACAAAAAATCCTCTCTCCGTTGGATTTCATCTTCCTTTTACTTCACTTCTTACACAATCATTTCAACTTTTTAGCTGTGTGTGTGATTTTTGAATCCAAATACGTCTTCAAATCCCAACGCCAACTGTTCGTTTCTTGAGTTCGTGTAGGGTGGATCTGTGCGCGCTTTGAATTGAGTTTTTTTTTCTTTTAGTGCAATGATGGAGCATATTACTTTTGCAGTTTCCGAAAACAAACAATTTTTTCAATGCTGTTTGGAAAGGTGGAACTGAGTAGGTGATAATGGAGGTGTGCGGGCGAAAGGAGGAAGCCAGTAAAAAGTAAAATCGCTCGACGTTCATTCATATAAATATTATATCCACACTCGTTCTTTTTGTCTAATTTTTCGATTCTTTTATCCCGATCCAGTGGCCTACTCATCTTCATTTCTTCTTTACACTGAAATCCTGCCGCTCTACCTCACTTGTATCTTCAATTTCTGACATTTGAGAATCTATGGAGGAATCATTAGTGGTGGATGTTCTAAACGACGAACATGAGGTACACGATTTTTCGCCCTAAATTTTGTCCAAGATTCTCAAGTATTTTAACTTATTCTTGCTTTTTACTACTTTTTTCTCTCTGGATTTGTTGATTGATTTCCGTTTATGATGGAGGAATCGTTGGACGGTGGGTTATGCTGTTTTGGAGTTACCGTAGCCTTACTTGTTTGAGTATATGGTTAGATTTGATTGTGGCTCCGTGTTGACAGATGGAAGAGAGTGCTTCGGCGAAGCCACTTCTTGAGGTTTCGGTTTCATTCGGTAGGTTTGAGAACGATTTACTGTCTTGGGAGAAATGGTCGACTTTCTCTCCCAATAAGTACTTGGAAGAAGTTGAGAAGTACGCAACGCCTGGATCTGTTGCTCAGAAGAGGGCTTACTTTGAAGCTCATTACAAGAAGATAGCTGATAGGAAGTCTAAGTTACTGGAGCAGGAGATGGAAATGGAACGCAACACGACAGTGTCAAATGAACTGAACGGTGGAGAAGATCTAATGGACCACATTCAAAGGGTTGATTCTGAATCTGAGACGTCAAACCACCACGTTTCTGCTGAAGAACTTGAGCAGAACACAACATTGGTTGGTGAAGTCAGTAGTGTTTTCCAAGAAGTGGTGACGGATGATGTTGAAAGCTCACCAGATGGTGAAAAGGAAGAACCGGGTAGCAAAATGGATTGTGTTAGTTCCGAGTTAAGCAAGCAAGAAGAAGTTGTAGTGAAAGAAGTAGAAACTCCTTCTCCAGTTGAATCCCGGAGCACCAAGGAACCTCCTCAAAAGTTGGCCAATAAAATATTGGCAGCATCTAAAGTCAAACAGCAGGTTCTAAAACCGAATCAACCAAAAGAATCTAAGAAGGTAACCCTTTTATGTACATTTAAATTGTTAGGAGTTGCTAGGTTGGATTCACTGACTTCAATTTTCTCCATTTGTTTGTGCAGACCACTCCAGTAGTCAAGGAACGAAACAGTGCAAGTGTCAAGAAAAAACCAGTATCATCCACAGCCAAAGCACCCCAGATTTCCACCCCCAAATTCTCCAAGACAACATCAGGACCCACCACACCTGCAGCACGGTCAAGTGTGCTGCGGTCCTCTATAAACAAGGGAAGTAATTCGTCTCTATTAAAGAGCCGAAATCCATCTTCTGTTGAAACCAAGAAAATGGCTCCTAAATCCCTGCATATGTCCCTTAGTCTGGGAACTCCCAACTCTGATCCATCTTCTGTTACCGGAATTAGAAGATCTTTCATCATGGAGAAAATGGGGGACAAGGACATTGTGAAGCGGGCATTTAAGACATTTCAGAACAGTTTCAACCAAATGAAATTGTCTCAGGAAGAGAGGTCTTCTGCGCATAAGATGGTTAGATCCTCTTGCTATTTCAGTTGCAAATTACTCCAGAATTGCCTATCTAATTTTATTGATTAAGCAACATATGATCGATTTATTTATTATCAAGTTTATCATGGCTTGATATTGTCCTATACTCTATGCTACGGACAGGCTCCTTCAGAAGAGAAAGAAACAACAAGAATCTCTACTTCCATGGCTGCTAAAAAGGAGAATGGAGGGTATTCCTTTTATTATACTTACAACTTCTGATAACAACCGAGTTTTAGCTATACACTGCTTGCACGTATAGGCTAATCATATGGTCCATCTCTTTCCTCCATCATATTATTAGGTTATCCATTTGTTTCTTCAATTCATTAATTCCAACCCATTATTAGGCAGCTTTCTACAAATTATTTAACCTTTTGCTAAATAACATGTGAACTAGTCCTAAATTTAGTTGTTCTCTTTTTGGATGAGCAAATGATCAGATAACTATCTTCCCGGAACCAGCAGTTAGTAACTTATTTAAGCCTGGGACATTTCATCACTTCTTTTTAGCAAAGCTTCCCTCTTGTATAAAAATGACGATAACTTTCTTATATGTGATAGGTTGAACAAAGTAAGTGGTACAATGAGAGGTACAGACAGCAGAACGCCCAGCATTGCTCGATCTAAAAAATTGGAAGGAAAACCAAATGCAAAAGCGGCGGGAAGAACCAGCCTCCAATCAAAATCTAAGGTTGCCCCATCTCAGACAGTGGAGGAGAAATTAAATGCCAAAGTGGGAGGAAGAACAAATCTTCTATCGAAATCAAAGGTCAGCTGAAGTATGGTAGTTTATTTTATCTTTGTTAATTACATTATGGTATAACTCAAATTTATTGAAGTGTAAAAGGTAAAAGAACTACAAGATATCTCAAGTATTCCAGGTACTTGGAACCTCACCTCTCCCATTTCTTGAGTATTCTCACTCGAGCCTGATCCACTAAACAATTGCCTACCTTTCTCCTTCCCGATCCCTCTGTTTATAACCAACTACAATAATAAACTCCCAACTAATATACCCTCAATGCCCTAATTCTTTCCTAATAGTATTCCTATCACATTATTGTTGTATATTTGCTCGTGCAATGAATATACGCTCAAAACTGGTTAATGATTTGTGGGATTTTGATAGGAAAAAACAAAGATAACTATCAAGTAATTCGAGGTGCTTGGATCCTCTCTTTATTGTGATCGCTCAAGGCCTAAACCAACTAAATCAATGTTAACCTTCCCTTTTTAGCCTCACTCTATTGTTAACAAATTACCATAACAACTTCTCTGGACAATTAATAATTTGCCCTTAATACCTTAACGATATTTGTAACTCTATCCTAATGCAGTTACTATCAGTTTTCCTAGTTGTCCTTTTCACATATCAAATGGCCAACAATTCTGAATATCTTGCGGCCAAATATCAGAAGCTGCCTAAAGATGGGCTTGTTTTTCTTTCGTTTCCTTTACCGTTCACTTGAAGCTAAAAATAGTAGCAGAACTATTGCTTTGCTTCCTCTCTGTGTTTCTTTCAGTAGGTAACACAAATACCATTTGCTTATACAGGATGCCTCTAAGAATGGGCTTCGCTCTTAAGTTTTGTTGATTGGAAACAAACCATCAGCCACCAGGAAAATGTATTGACGATGGGAACTGAATCAGGTTGGACATTGATGAAAATTACTACGTATTCCTGAAGGGGCCCATCTCATGGACTCATTGTTTCCCCTGAAAGTAGCCGTCTTTGTCCATCCAGAATCTGTAGATTGGAGTGGGTAGGATGTATAATGAAGCAGATGATGTCATCTTTATGAGGTTTATTAGTATAGTAATATACAGAAAGGCCGGGGATGTCTCGAAGCCACCCCAATTAATAATATAACTAGGAAAAGGCATCTGTGTGTATGATGTTGAATTGTCTTAGAATTGTCTTATTCTCTTTCAGATAGCTGCAAATGATATATATATATATATATATATTATATTGTATACAATTTTAGACTAGATGGAGAACTTTTTGGAGTAGCCATGATGTTAGTCTTATTTTTTGGATCGAATAATATTCACCCATTGTAAAATCAGAGTTTCTGTAATTTACCACCAAAATAGTTGTTCAAGGATAAAATGCTCTATTATTACATCTTTGTTCCTGATTAAGAATTTTATGTACATTAGTTTAACAAGAACACAAAAAATAGATTACGGTTTATGAATAAGATTTGCTCAGAATTCATTATCTGAATCACTAGAACTCCCTCTTGACTTGTCTGACATAAAATTTGGCGGCAGGTTAGGGAAGATGGCCTTCGATCTCACCGGCGATGAACCCACATTTACTGTCGACGATCTTCTTTTCTGGAGATTTCTAGAAATTTCCACACACACCCGATCTACCATTTCTAGAAAATCCTTAACTATGATGAAGAATTGAAGCCGATTTGATTCCTTATCTCTTGAACTTCCAGCTTGATAATACTCTGTTGTCTTCATCACTAGCTCCATCACCTTCGTCTGTTCTTCTCTCACCACCTTCAGCTCACTCTCTGCTGCCTCAAGAAACCCTCTCATTTCTTTCCCAAACCCACCTCCATTGTTCCCAATTTGAGCCATGAGCTGCCGGATTTCTGCAGTTCGGTTGGTCAGAGACGTTCCGGTGTTGGCGAAGCTCTCATAGTCGATCGTTGCTGCCTTCTTTACATTAGAGAACTCAGCGCTCAGACCTCCCACCACTGGCAACCCCAACATCATGTATTCATTTACTCTGTCCTCTTTCGAAGATGAATTATCGGAAGTACTAACGCTGCTGTCGCTGGCATGGCTGGTGTTACGGCTCAAGCTCTTGTTCCTGTTTAAAACACACCTTTTCCCTTCTGCTCTGATGACTTCTTGCACCACAAAGTGAAGCAAAGTGGTTTTCCCATCAGTGCTCCTAACATCCGAGAGCTTCCGGAGAGCTGAAAGGTTGAAAGCTCTGGCATTTCCTCTTGCAGTTCCCGCATTCAGCCGATTCCCAGCTTTGAGAACTGCTTCAAGCAGCTTCAGAAACAGCCCTCGAGTTCTAAGCTCCTTGCAGGCCGATTCCAGAATTTCTAGAGATTCCTTTAGATGATGAATATCAGAGCCGAAAGTCAATCGGAAAAGCATGGCGTTGAACCGCGCAAAGGCAGATGGAACCGCTTTGAGGAGAGGGTAAAGGAAAGTTTCGGCATCAGCAAGCTTTTGGGGGTCTCCTTTGTAAGCAAGAATCTGAGAAATTTCTTCTTGTGTCAGAGTAATTCTCGTGAGTTTTTCAAGTACATCTGTTTCGAGGCCTTGGCCTTCGTTGAGCGCATCGAGGATTTCGTTGCGAGGAATGGTTAAGGACTTGACTACAATGGCTATGTTCTGTGACTTCTTGGGTTCAAGAATGAAAGTCTGCGATGGCCCTGAGTTCCGGCCAGTGGGGATTGCTGAAGAATTAGCCTCACTCCGGGGGGACTTCCGGTTGGTTGCGACGTATCCAAACAGAGCTTCCATAAGATCCCCATCAAATCTGTAGCCAAAACAAGAAATGAATCAGTACCCAAATGAATTTGCTCAAGAAACAAGAATGGTGTTTGAAAAGATGATTACTTGAAAGAACCGGCTTGCATTTTGTCCCAAACCATGGAATGATCGGCATTTGCGGTGTTCACTTTATCCCAATGCAGAGGCTTCATTTTAACCTGACCATTGTCGGCCGATGTAGAAGATTCTCCAGAGGATTTACCCTCTTTTTGAGGTGCAGGCCGTAACGGCAATTTGGAACTGCCGGCCTTGGGCGGCGGCGGTGCTGCCGGATTTGCCTTGGCCACTATTGGAGGGGGAGGTGGGGCTGCTGAATTGGTCTTGGCTGGAATGGGAGGCGGTGGCGGCGGTCTTGAATTGGTCTTGGTAGCAATGGGAGGAGGCGGCGGTGGCGGTCTTGAAACGGTCTTGGCTGGAATCGGCGGCGGTGGTGGTGGAACAGAGCTCTTATTGTTAGGAACAGCCATGAGAGATTGTGACGGAGGTACCGGAATTGCCGCTGGTTGCGGTGGTGCAGGTGATGAAAGAATTGAACTGCTCGATGGTTTTCCAACTTCCTGAACAGACTTCCCAGTAAATGGCGGAGGGTTGTTAATGTGGGACGGTGGCGGAGGTGGCGGAGGAGTAACCCGACGGGGTTCTTCATCTTCCGGTGAAATTTTAACATGAGAACTCGAAGATTTCCCTCGAAGTAAAGGAATCTCTTGAACAGGCTCCGACTTTTTGCTTCGATTTGCTTGAACATTTCCTTCTCCATCACCCCGATCAAAGCTATTCTTAGATTTCCTCCTTTCAAGTCTCTTCCAATAAATCACATCCAACCCATCCTCATCCACAATAAACCCCTTAAGATTCCCATCAACACGCGCAAATTCACTCCGAGCAACCGCCGGCTGCGACACCGGCCCCTGACCCGGTCCCGAATTCACCTCCTCTGTTTTCCGTTTTCTTCTGATCAGATATCTCTGGATTAAAAAGAAGAACACCGTGGAAATCAGAGCCATGCCCACTGCAGTGATAGCCACCGCCGTCACGATGGTCCTCGTCGACGACGACGGCGATGATGACGGCGATGGCGACGGCGGATGGACAGGTAAGAACGGTGGTGGAGGAAGAATTGGGTAGAAAGTTTCGATATTTTGAGGTGGAGTGTCTTGGCAATAAGAAACAGGGGAAACAGAGAGGAAGAGAAGTAGGAGATGAAGAGGCCATGGCTGACGGCGAAGGTGAAGCAGCATAGCCATGGCGGAATTGGGCGATGAGAAACAGAGAGAGCGGGGGAAAGGTAAAGGAAATGCAGCAAAAATATGGAGAAAGATGGAAGGTTTGAAAATGAAGGTAAAAAGACATGGTCGTGTGTGTGTGTTTTGGAGTTTGGTGGCTGACAGTTTCAATGCGAGCAGTTAGTTGAGTTGTTGTTCCTCTTCAATGTTTCCGGCCCTTCGTAAGTAAATTCCTCCAATTAATTTCTTTACAATTTAAATTTAAATAAATAAATAACTTACTAAAAAAGCTTCTATTACACAGCTGGATTCAGTTATTTAATTGAAATTGAAATTATTGTATTCCCACTTTTGAAATATGCGTTACGCGTTAATTTAACCTTTTAAAAAAAAATTAAAAAAAAAAACCATAGAAAAAGTAAAACTTAGTGGATTAATAATTGAAATGATAATGTTATAAATAAAATAATGAAATTAAGAGGGAGGGAAATTAGGGTTTGGATGGAAGGAATGATGATCCCGTCAAAGTCAAATGAATGCAGAGCCCGACCGAGTTGACGTTGACCAAATTTAATACAACTCGTTGTGAATGGACGCAATAATCATAAATTTTATAATACCATTATTATAATTAATTAATTATTTATTTATTTATTTAATGGTATTCTCAAATTATGAAGATTTTTTCTAAAAAAATTTAATTTTTTAACCGACATTTATAGAAGAAGTTGACCAAAATTGTTGCAATTTGGCATTGGTTTGTTTATAAAGTTATTTATTTATTTATTTTGGAAAATGAAGTAAAGAGAGGGAAATTGAGAAATATTGAGAGGCATTTAATTTGTTTGAGGGTGAGGGAAGATGGGTGAGGGAAGATGGGTGAGGGAAGATGGGTGAGGGTAGGAAGTAGGTCACCAACTTTGATTCTTTTATTTGGTCTTTCTCTCCATAATTTTTAATTATTCTATCAACTTGGGTTTCAATAATTTGGGCACTAATTTCCTATTTCTTTTTCTTTTAATAATAATAATAATAATAAATTTACTTAAGATGTGATTCTGCCTTTTTAGAAATATTTGAAATATTCCAAAATTTTAATTATCCAATTTTTTTAAATTGGGTTATTAATTTATTTAGATTTGGTTGAGTTTAAATAAATAAAAAAATATATGGTTAATTTTAAAAAATAATCTTTGCTTTATCATACTAATGTATATTTATAATTTTATTCAATTCTATAAATATACTTTCAAATATTTACTTTCTAATAACTCCCACAAACAAAATTTAAAATTTTGGAACTTAATTTGTAAAAATCTATATTAAAATTGTGTTAAGCAAATAGTAAAAGAATAAAATTAGCTTAAATTTAAAATTCATATTTGAGCATAATTTTAATAATAAAATTGGAGATATTTCGCTTCATTTAAAGAATAAAATTTTAAATTCCACCATCTACTTTGTCAAAAATAAATTTATAAAAACTAACAGGTTAATTTATTTAATTAGTCTATTCTCTCTTTTTTCGTATTGTATATCAAATCATTCAGTTATATGTCTACACAGACTATCGAAATCTATATCAACTGAAATGGTAATAATTGACTAAATAAAAAATGAAAAGAAACGACTATATCCATTGGTATAACCCTAAATTTAAGATAAAAGATAAGGTTTTGCAATATTGGAGGTGGGAAAGAAGCCAATTTTTGAGGGGAAAAAATGGGATGAGAGAGAAATGAAGAAAAAGTAGGGAAATGGGCAAAGGGGTCGAGGGTGAGTTGTTGACATTGATGCCTCCATGCTTCCCTTCATTGGCGTGCATACACACATTGACCGACTCCTCCATTAGCTTCAAATTGCAATGTGAAATCGCCTCAATTGTAAACGCATCCCATGATCCAACGCTTCCAAATTCTAAAACGCATTTGTTAAGGAGAAGTTGCCCTTTGTTAACCACAAGTTTCAAGGTGGTTTTGTGGGTTTTGATGGTTACAAATGCCGCGCCGTCCTTAATCAATAAAACACTACCCAAACGACAATATTTACTACCCGAGGATTTTGACCGTTATAAATGCTGCCCGCCTGCCCTAATCAACAATACACTTTGAATATAGAAAAAAGTTCTTTTTAAAAAATAAAAAAAATAAAAAAAATGGAGAAATTTTCCATAAATGAAAAGTGTGGATATAATTGCAAAGGCAATTCAGAACAGGGAAAGTGAATGGCATGATTATTAATGGGCCTTCCATAAAAAAAAAGGAAAAGCCCATTTTCGATCTGTAAAGGCAAATCCTAATATGAAATAGGCGATGGGCCACATAGTTGGCCCATCCATCTCATCTCAGGACCACACACACACCGACAACCTTTAAACCTCGACTCTCTCTTGGGTTCATGTCTCCTGACAACATAAGAATCCAATGACTTTTCCAGGCCCACAAAAATAACCAACTTTATTATTTTTTTTTTCCTTTTTTTAAATATTATAAAAATTAATCGACCTGGACTTTCTTTTTCATCAACTTGATTACCATATAACCAACCTATATTTTGTATGAAAATCTTTTTTTTTTATTCAATTAGATTTTTTGTTTGAATTTATTATAATTATTATTATTATTGTCGTTGAATTCATGCATTTTTTTCCACGCCTTAACCATAAAGAAAGTAGCAATTGAATTATATTATCTGTAATGTTTTAATTAATTGACCAATTTTATAACTCCAAAGAAAATTATCCCCAAAATGACAAAATATTCATAGATCTTTCTTTTTTTTTTTTTTTTTTTAATATATATTTATATGATTGAACTCTATGAATTGTGTACATCACGGCTCATGCCTTGTCCCCCGAAATGATCGGACAACCCCAATGCGTTGCGGTTTAGTAAATAACGGCGGTAACCAAAACACCAACACTTAACGGTGACAAAACTGGGATTTCAAACTAATAACCGTTAAAACTAACAAAGAGGAGGAAGATGTTTGGGGATGATGAGCTGATGTTCTCATTTAGAGCCGTCGTCGGATTGGGTGGACGTCGGTGAAGACGGCTCCGATGGGGACGGCGTGGATTGAACCGAATCTGACGGTGATGAAGACGATGGAGAAGAATCCGATGAAATGGACGGTGATGATGATGGTGGAGAAGAATCGGATGAAATGGACGGTGATGATGAGGCTTCATCACACGACGATTCTCGTACCGTCCTTTTGTTCATCCAATTTATTTCACTTCCGGTCTTTTCGTCCCCCACCATATATTCCCTGAGCCGTTTCACATCTGATAATTTCACCGGCTTCACTATGAAATCCTCTGCTCCTTCCTCCAAACACCTGTCTATCCTCGCCACCACGTTTTCCGACGACATAATCACCACCGGAATCTCTCGCAGAGTTGAAGATTCCTGTTCATCACTTAGGTTAACACTCCATTTCCCACTTCCCTTCTTCGAATTTCAATCAAAAGCTAGAAATTTTACCTTTATTTTCTTGAGCAATTCGTAGCCTGTCATTCCGGGCATACAGTAGTCGGTAATGATCATATCCACCTTCAAGCTCTGTTATTTTCACAAACCCATGTCCCAAAAAGTTCATAAACGAACACCCATAAGAAAAAGACTTCAAATTTACAATTCCAGGATCACTTACATCAAAACCCACTTGGGAATTCGTCTCATCTTGCAACCCAAGATATTGTAGAGCTCTGATTCCACTATCCACAGCAGTAACTGAAAGAACCCATCAAAACCCATAAGTGAATTTCCCAAGACACAATCAAAATTATAACAAGGTAGGAACTGACCTCGGCAGGCGGTGAGGCGTAGGAGCCGCTCGATTACTTTACGGTCGACGAGGCTATCATCGACGGCGAGAACATGGACTTCGGAATCAGAGGTGGGGAAGCGATCTCGAGCGTCAATTTGATCGGACCTCCGGCGGCGGGAGAAAACAGGGGTTCTAGCCATGGATTGGGAGAGGGAAATTGATGAAGGTTGAAGAGAGGAGGGGCGATGGAAGAGGGTAATATAAAGCGGTTTATGAAGTGGGAGGGTTAAAACAGAGGAGAAGACGGTATGTTTGTGTCCTTAAGAAGTCCCTATCGGGGAAATCAAATCTCTCCTTCTCTGAGAAATCCCAAATCAGCTCTTTTTAATATTTTATTTCACTTTCCTTTTGATTTTAAACTAACGTTTAAGATACGGAGGATGAGATTCTCAAATCCACTTGGGTCAGATCTCCAAATAAACGCAATCTTCCCGATATCTCCTCCTCGCCACTCGTGGTTATCGTGTACGAGATTTTAACCGAGAAGGGTTTTTTTGGTCAACATATTGGACTACGTGCACCCGCGTTGGAATCAAATCGAAGTAGGTTGATTGAGTTGACCGAGGTCAACCAAGGACGACACGACGCCGTCAAATCCCAAGGGAAGAAATGACCGAGCAGTTCCCTAACAGACCAGACACACAGCATCTGCTCTGCTCCAATCGGAGTCATTAACAAACACAAATTACTGCGGTGAAAATTTTGTTGGAATTTACATAGTCGTGGACGAGAGTTGCGGAATGTGGGACACGTGGCGACCTCATTGTTTTACATTTAACTAAAGTTAAAAAAACAAAGGAACATAAAAGTCAAAAGGGTAAATAGAGAAAAAGAGAGAGAATTTGAAGATATGGAGGAGTCCCAATGAAATCTAGTGTGGGACCCACGACATCTTAAATATTAATTAAAAAAAGAAAATTAAACAGAAAAACATTAAGAGAAGAAAAGTACTCGACTTGACTTGCCTTGCCTTCCCTTCCCTAGATTGATTTGCCTTTGGGGTTTCTCGTAGTCAGTTCAGTCTTCCCTTATTTTCTATTTCGTACCATTATTGAGATGAAGTTGAGGAAGTCCCGAACAAAACCCGCTAATGATACTATCCGATGTAGCCTGTTACGTATCGTTGCAGCCTCACGATTTTAAAACACGTCTGATAAGGAGAGGTTCAAACCTTCTTATAAATAATGATTCATTCCCCTGTCACCCAGTCTGAGATTTCACTATCCACCTCCCTTTGAGCCTAGTGTCGCTTTAGCTTGTTACATATCATTGCTGGCTTCACGATTTTAAACCCATTTGTTATGGATAATTTTTCGTATTCTTATAAAAAAATGCTTCGTT